CGTTGTAGAATAATATTTTGCCTGAAATAGATTAAATAAAGTGTGTGTTAACGCGTTGCTTGACTAGTTTTCAACTTTAATTATTAATTAAAAAAAAACTGTACGGTGGATCGTGTTCACCTTCAACTATAGGCTTCCTCACAGTGTCCTCTTTCCATCGATATATATTGTTCAGACATTTTTGGCAAAAGATTTTTCGCAAACTCGTGTTATTCATAGGAAAATAACCTCTTTTCCTATTAGACCAATGTTAAAATTATTAAAATCACCTAATTTTAAAATTAAATATCTTGAGAACGGGACGGTGAATTATCTTTTTTTAGGCTTAATCGATTCAGGAGAGTTCCTTTTTTCGATATAAAAAATAAAACCTATCATTTTTGGCAAAAGTTGTTCATCATTGAACTACCTTAATTTAACTCATTTATTTGCAAAAAGAATTAAAAAAAACGTTTATTTAACATTTATTTGACATTAATTTAATAATTACTTTACATTACTCATTTATTTGCAATAATAATTTGAAAAAAACATTTACTTAATATTTATTTAACATTAATTTAATAATTATTTTACATTACTCATTTATTTGCAATAATGATTTGAAAAACATTTATTTAACATTTATTTAATATTAATTTATTATTTACTTCAAATATTATTTTATATTAATTATTTTATTATAAGAGATGTTTTATCATATTTCTGTTCTCGTTTTGCTCTATTATGCCGTTTTGTGGCAAATTTCCGCGTCACGTATCTTTACTATTATATAAAGGGGAAAAGTTTGTACTGATGTTGTTCGGAGTAATCTTAGAAACTATTGAACCGATTTTGAAAGTATTGTATATGAAGTAGGGGTAAAATTTCCCGGGGAGTGCTATAGGGTGTATAGTTTTTCTTTACCGATCTTTATTAGAACCGGTATCCGAAATTTTTCCAATTTTTCGGGAAATAATTAATTGACCGATTCTTAATAATTGTATATAAAACAGGGGTAGAATTTCCTAATAAAGAAGTTACCAATTTCTGTCTAAAAAAAATCTACGTAATTGTTCTGATTTCTGCAAATTTTGAAATTTCGAGCTAAATCTTTTTTTATGGATAGAATATTATTATATTGAATTTAGCGAAAATCGGTAAAAGGGTTGCCGATTTTTGCTTAAAAATTGTGTAAGTTATATATCGGGATTTAATAACGGATACTGATATTTCTAAATTTTATATTAAATATTGAGAATTGAGATATTACATTTCACTTCGATCATACTTTGCGCTATATAATGTACAATATAAATAGCCTATATGACGTTTGTGAAATTTAAAGTCAAGGAATACTTGTCGTTTCTTTTAACTCAAAAATTAGCTTGCTTAAGCTAAAAATGTTACGTAACGTTATCCAATATTTTCTCGTAAGAATATTAAGAGCAAATACTAAATGTACATCATTTTCAAATCTTTGCAAAATGTCGAATGCAATATTTTAGCATCTAGTCTATATATAAAGCTGATACATATATTATATATGTATGTGTGATAATTATCAGTCGATTGAAGATGGATGAATTCACACACACATCACACATATTATGTATCAGAACATTGAAACATATAATTTTATATTTAATAATGGTGATATCGTGTGAAAAGTGAATTACTATAATAAGTGTGGATTAATAATAATTGATCTATAAATATTTGGTACGTATACAATTAAAAATTTTGTATAAATAGAAAACTCATAACGTTTTGTTCCATTAGAAATAACTAATCAGCTTTGTTTCCCGCTTTTCAGTCTGGAATCTACGACGCGCGATCATCTTCTCTCGTGTAAGCTCAGCGCCTGCACGGACATGTGGTTCCTATTTGTGTGAGTATCCCTTCTATCTGCTTTTCAATTAGGCCGCGTTTCGAATCCCGACTCCCGCGCGACGTTCCCTCTCCCTACTCCCGCGAGTCCCGCTTCCCGCTCCGCGTCGTCGCCGTTTCGTTTGTCCGGTCGCGTACGCAGCTCTTGTGCTCACTGTTCACCAGTACTGTGTACGTAGCGTCGTGGATCATCGTTTGTCGATCATCGATTAAGTTCCAATAGCGTATATTACACTTGAAATCCGGCTCCACCGAGTCTGGAAAGGAGGACAAGCGATCGGTTCGTTTTCCGAAACCCTCTTAGAAAGTCGAGAAGGACGAGCGCAATCGCGAGGTGTCGAGACGAGACGACAAGCGGGACATCGAGTATTCTTTAGACCCGCAGCGAGAAGAGACCCATACAGCACAAGTAGATACTGAGAATGTTCAAAGGATATCTCAGCAGTAGATTGCGTATATTCTCATAACATTCGAGATACGTACCACGATTTTCTGAGAACATACTCAGAACATTCCTATTTCCGCCTCACCTAGTTCATAGTACTACTGAGAATATCCCGCAGTAAATACCAAGAATATCTCAGGTATCAATATAGAACCAAGGATAGAATATGCACGGTATATACTTATTACGTTCGATTAGGGTAAAATAATTGGTACTCTTTTATATTTCATAAATTTATGTTTATTTATATGTGCATTGTAAATTATTGCCAATGTGTGTACGTTACACACTACAATATTTAATATTGACAACTAATACCGCAATAACGCCGAGTTTAATGCTTATGTCACTTCGAGTGTCATACGTGATAGAGAGAATTGCTATAGAATAATAGATTACTGCCTGTTTTATGTCATATACGATTTCCTTATAGAATATTGCAGTGTTTTCGAACTTTAAATCACATAGTGATTTGAGTACATATGAAGTACATATTTAAAACTAGCGAAAATAATAGTTTTCTTAAAAAGGATTGCACATAAGTAAACAAAAAAGAAATAGGAAAGTATGCATTTTTTACATGTGTCGTGTATCTAATGACGCTTATTTAGAACAAAAGGATAGGAAAATGTATTATAGTCACACGACTTGTTGGAAAGATTTAAAAGTCTGAGTCCTCACACATAAGTTATAGTTTGCACAGAAAAATGTACTTACAAATTAAGCGTGATTTAAAATTCGAGAACACTGCAATCGTTCAAATATCTCGTGAATACATTTTCAATTGAATAATACATTAAGACAAACAATTTTTACAGTGCGAACATGCAATTATCTTGTAAGTTATGTCAGACAGTAATCTAGCTCGATATTTCGAATAGAAAATAATTAAAATAAACTTTATAAATTTTGTAACATAATTGCAGCGCATTTACAGTAAGCGGCAAGTTATAATTATACGAATGATACATATATGGCAAGAGAAGGCATCATATGTTCGTGAATGTTTCAATACGTATTGTATCATATATGTTACAAAATTATATAGTTGTCTTTCTATATAGGGACCATCCTTCAGTATACATGATGTACACACACATATATACATAAGTATATATATATATATATATATATATATATATATATATATCATGTTACATACGTATGTGCACATGTCTGTACATAATATATATTTTTCAAGAAAAAAAAACATTATGGGATATTCTGTATATATGGAGAACTAATAGAGACGTAATATCGGTGAGCATAGCATTGAAACATTCTCCTCTATAGACAATATGACACTTATTCGCACGACAGCGCATATTATATATAATCCTTTCCGCCGTCACTATTGAAGACGTGACTACATGTCAGCCTCTCGACGAAACATACCTATTACAAAACGAGAAGACGAAGCAAAATTCGTTGAGCTGTTGGTACATATTGCACAAATACACAATTGGTATCACAAATTGACTCCAACGTATGCGAGCCAAACACTTCGTCGTCGCACGCAATCTGTTTTACGGGAACGAGAAGCAGCATGCGAAACAGAAGGATAAATGGAATGTATCTCGCGTTTAGAAAAGTAAACAAATAAGCTCCTCCAAATACGACGTTTTAAATGCTCCGATAATCTAAATGTGAGTAATTCTAAATGTAAGTATATCAGCTCGTTGTGCATTAGCTGAAAAACGTAAGACGTAAGAAAAATAATAAGCGTTCAACGGTCAGTGTAAAATTGATTGCGTGTGACATACACTTAAATATTTCCTAATACGAAACTTTCCTTACGAGAATAATACCTATCCGAAATAATACTTAATATTTTGCTAACGCCATTATCTACATATAACACTAAAATGAAAGATTTTTTATTTTTTTGCATTACGCTAAAATAATAGTATAATTATAAATTAATTTAAACATTAATTTTAATTTTTTTTCTTGTTTAAATTATTATGTTTTACTATAGTTTTAAACCTAATGAGATACTTTCTTTTATAATAAATTTTAATATAACAAAAGGTATACATTTAAGATATGTAATATAAAGTCTAGATTTAGATGCTAATATATCGAATTATTTTGGGAAATTTAAATTATAAGTTATTAATACACTGTTCTTGAAATGAATACATTTAGTGATCCCATCTCTAATTAATTACATACAGATTCTTGTCACTTATTTTCATATTTCTTGCGCAACTTGCTATGAATAATATATTTAACACCGAGTTATTGTAATACGAGAAATGTATGTTATATATTTAAAATAATCTGTTAGAAAAAGAAATAAATATAAACTAAACTGATTCAATAAAAAAAAATACATTGCATTAATCAAACTCTAATATTATAAATGTTATGTCTTTTGAACAAATAAAATATGTAATGTGTAGAATTAAAACAAAGAAAAGAAACATTGAGTTGTTCTACGAAATTAATCTTATCGAGATTGTACGAACTAAAAATAGTATCACAATGTGTTAAACCTGATATTGATTATACTGAACACAATGTAATCCATATTCCTAGCATCCTTAATTGGCCGTTTTAAGTGCGATAGTGGCTTCTACCGCTATTTCTGTTGAATCCTCTGACACATGATTGCTCCGCATCTTTCTTCTTCTTCCATGCGTCACATCTTTCAACCATTTTATATACTTCCTCAGATACTTCCTGAAGTAAAAAGCATGAGTTAATTGAATTTATTCATAGAAAGTTTGAAAGAATCAAAGTACTGTGTATCTATTAACCTGATTAGCCTCTTCGAGAATGTCAATGAGTCCCTTGGCATGATGCCAGTCCTGCCTTGTCATAAAAGTGATACTCTCGCCCGTTCGACCTGCGCGTCCAGTACGGCCGACTCTGTGAACGTATTCCTTTATATCCCTCGAGAAGTCGTAATTCAGTACGTGTCTAAAATGAGGGCAAAGATGTATCGATGTTGTATTTCAAATAATGTAATATGTTTCGTACGTTAGACTCATGTAATATCTTCAATGTCAATTCCTCGTCTAGCCACATCGGTCGCGAGAAAAATCTGAATGGCTCCAGTCTTCAGATCTTCTACTAAGGCTTGTTCCCTATCTGTTTGACCTCTGTCGCCGTGAATGCTCTGACAATCGATGTTCGATAAGGCCAGATCGCTAGAGATATCGTCCATCTTTGCCTTCTTACCGAAAAATACCAACACGTTTTCGTTAAAGCACATCTACTAATTACGTATTATTGTAATAAACTTACCAATAATTTCCGTTTTTTACGAATGTAGAAGTGAACGATCGAAAGGCAAAAGCGAGAGGCTGACGCAACGTTTTAGGTTAGGACGACACATGAGATAAGTCCATGTAAGATAAACGGAGGAAACACCGGTCGTCGAGTCTGAAAAATATAATAACAACAGTGACATTAATTTGTGCCTATTCTCGCTCGATTCACTATTTACGAATTATGATAATAAACTTACCAATATTTTCCGTTCTTTACGAATGTAGAAGTGAACGATCGAAAGGAAAAAGCGAGAGGCTGACGCAACGTTTGAGCAACGTTTTAGGACGACACACAAGATAATAAGTCCGTGTAAGATAAACGGACAAAACACGTCCGAACTGGTCCGTGCCTGTTGCGGCTCTTGGATGACCGCGAGCGACTAGCGTACTGGCCGCGCACCGTTGCCTGCCTCTCTGCCTCTGCCGGGCCCCGCCGCTCCGAGTCCGAAGATGCGGAAGAAGACGACGACGACGACGACGAGTCTCTGCACGACACAACTCACTGAACTCCACTGAACTCACAACTTCGACAAGATGTCCGACCACCGACGTCCGACTGTCCGACTTCGTGTTCGTGGCTTCGTGCCCGATCGACTCTCATCGGGGCGACTTCGGCTCGCCTCTATGCGCGCGCATCAACACGCCGCCTTCGGACTTAGCCGATTCGGCGTCGTCGGTGAAAGCAACACGCCGCGAGCGGACTTTATTTTCTGATCCGTATTAATTTATATATTCTGAGTAGTATACGAGAATGTACGAAAAATAATATACTACTGTGAGATATTACAAGTACATCCTGAGAATTTACGAAAAATAATGTACTACCGTGAGATATTACAAGTACATCCTGAGAATTTACTAAAAATAATGTACTACTAGAGATGTTATAGAAATGTTCCAGGTATATTATATACGGTACGTATATGTACAGTACGAGTACAGAACATTCGAATGATATCATGTGCTGTATGGGGAACGTACGACGGAAAACCTAGCTACATGGCTTTCGCGTTATCGGGCGAGCCATCTCGCCGCGGCAGAGGCGGTTTCCGTATTTGGAAAATCCTTTAACGAGGATCCATTGGAGGGCAAGTCTGGTGCCAGCAGCAGCAGCAGCAGTTTTATTGTAGACACGTGGCTCTGCGGACGTACGTATTTAACGTCGGTTTTAGTCAGATTTTGATGGCCTTTTTATGTATTATTTTCCGTTCAACGTGTGAGAGCTGCGTTTCCATTTGGCGTTCGCAACGCTCTTGGAATCGTTCGTTGTTTGTCAAAGAAAGAAGGACAAACAAGGACATGTAAGACGTACACCAAGGATAGGTCATTTTTTATACCCGGCATTTGTGTATATATCACGTTTTAGCTGCGTGCGGCGTGGCTAAAGCCTCTTGCACAATTCCAGGCAACAGGCTGTTGGTTGATAGACAAACGACTAGCGTTTATATTTGCGCAGTAAATGCTCTGAAGCGTTCTTCTTTTCTTTCTTTCTTTATTGAAAGAACGGAGAAAAGGAATGCTTCAAAGTATTCGTAGCATTAAGTGAACCGCTGCTTATCACGCATTTTCCGTGCGAATTGACTCGAACGTCAGTTTAATTTAAGTTAACAGATTTGTGAAACCCTTTTTTCTTTACATTTTACCAGAATACGCATTTCGTAGCTATTTTATATATTGCATATTAAGTATTTTCATACATAACACTTCTGATTTTCATGCTTAGTTAGATAAAAATGAGTGTATTGATCCTTGGATTTTTCATTTTCAGGTAGACCGCCATTGCTTCTCTCATAAAATTTCCAATTTTGCTGATATCCTTCGAAGATTGAGGATTGGAAAGAAATTGGAGGTTTGGAATTGACGTTATATTTGAGAGCTTTAAATTTCACTGTTGTGTGCATCTGGCAATTGCTTATCACATTGGTAAGTCCACTTGAAGAGTTAGACTCTATGTATTTTGATGGCTTTTAATACATGTAATTTTAATATATGCATTACAATTTTATACTGTCAAATAATAATTAATATTGTTTGATAATAGTAACAACGGTATAGATAACAGTAACAATTTTATTATTTGACTTATTTCATTCTATTTTTGACAACTCGTATATACATTAACTGTGGCTAAGGTCTATACTATGTCGTAGTGTAGGTCTTACAATTACCTACATTTCTGGTAAGTCAGTCCAAAGTATGCAGCTTCGTTCTCTATCCTTTTTATCTGTATCGGCCAGCCTTCCTTCCTATAGTTTATTTTATACTGTCAGTTTTTTTAATTTTGTTATATTTTTTTCCATTAACACATTTGTTATAGTGATTGTGCAGTAGAAAATCTGAAAAAATAAATGTTTTTAAAAAATAAAGATACATATATTTTGAAATCTATGTATTTTATATAAACATATATTTAAATTTATTTGCAGTTTATTTCAGAACATGCCAAAAAACATACCGTTTCATAAGCTTTCCAAGTCAGTTAAAAGGCGGAAAGTGAATATTGAAGTTGTAGAAGAACTCAATTCAACAGATTCTTCAATTGAATTCGATCAATCGCATATTCAGCAAGCACATGCTTCCATTAAAAGCCAAACTTCCGTAATACCAGATTTTCTTCATAATCAAAAAGAATCTGAACTTTCTCATTATTCTGAACTTTCTCATCATTCTGAACTTGCTCACCATTCTGAATTTTCTAATAATTCTGATCATTTTGAGTACTCTGAACACTTTGATTTTGAGAATAACGATGATTATAGAGAAGATAATATTTTATATGAAAATATTGACCCTAATGATCCTCTCCACTATTCGGATTCACCATCTAATTCGAGTTATTCTGGATCTAGTACAAATTCAGTTTCTGCTAACTCAAAAGTGCTCAAATTTCTCCGCGGTTGGGCTTTAAAATATAATATAACGCACGAAGCCACTTCAGCCTTATTGAAAGGTTTAAAAGAAAATCACGAATGTTTTGATGAATGTGAAATGATGAACTGATGAATTAGAATCCAGATTCCCTGTCAGTGCACGAACACTGCTGAAAACAGAGTAAAATTAATTAAAAAAGTTGTTGAGCCTGGTTATTACATACACATTGGATTGCAAAAACAATTACTAAAAATTGCTTCTAAGTATTTGAAAACCGTAGATTCTTTTAAGTTATTAATAAACATTGATGGATTACCTCTGTTTAGAAGTTCGTCTGATCAAGTGTATCCTATATGCACTGTAGTATCCGTTCCAGAATTGCGTAAACAAGTATTTCCTGTAGGAATTTATTACGGTAAAAAAAAACCTGCAAATTTAGAAGATTATTTAACAGATTTTATAACTGAAATTAATAGTCTCCATGAGAATGGCCTTCATTTTGAGAATCATACTGCACAGTTAGATGGTGTTTATTTTGTTTGCAATGCTCCAGCGAAAAGTTATATTATGGGAACCGTATCACATACAGGATTTCATTCCTGCACTAGGTGTACTGTTCGAGGTGTCACCTCAGACAATCGACGAATCTTTATTGATTTAGACAGTCCTGCTCGCACTTGTGATGATTTTATACAATGGACAGATCCGAATTTTCGTCGCCAAGATACCCCTCTTACTAGAATTGCGGGTTTAAATTTTGTGCGTCATTTTATTCTCGACTATTTACACTTGGACTGCCTTGGCGTAATGCGTTCGTTGATAGTGAATATGTGGTACAGGGATCAATTCCTCAGAGACTTTCGGCTGCTCAAATTGAATTAATCTCAAACCTTCTTGTTCGGTTTCAACGCTATATTCCTGTAGAGTTTGCGAGAAAACCTAGAGAGCTGTACATTGTTTTACGGTGGAAAGGAACGGAATTCAAATTATTTATTTTGTATCTAGGGCCAATTGTTCTAAAAAATGTTCTGAGTGAAGAGAAATATATTCATTTTTTAGAATTTCATTTTGCACTAAGAATTTTATTAAACGCGAATCTTTGTAAAGAGCGGGAACTTAGTGAATTTCCCAAAGCTCTTTTAAGACATTTTGTTCAGTCGACTGCAATATTGTACGATAAAAATTTTATTACCCACAATTTCCATAATAACATTCACATAGCTGACGATGCAGATTATTTTGTCAACAAGTTAGATGATTTCTCCCTAGATACGATATCTGCATTTCCTTTTGAAAATTTTATGCAGAACATTAAGAGAAAAGTCAGAGGACGCAGTAAACCACTTGAACAAATAGAACGATGAATTGGAGAAATAATGTCGTTTGAGTCTCATTATTTAACGGAAAATCGCCAAGATAATCAATTTCCAAAATTTTTTTATCCCCATAATACCGGTCCGGTGTTACCAGGTTGCACGCGTCAGTATCGTGGAGTTGCTCTTCCAAAATTCAAATTAACAAACCAAAGTCTTAATAATTGCTGTGGTACTATTGCCGGAACTATCATTCAAGTTGAGAATATAGCTTTTTCAGAGCGTTTACAGGTTCCAATTGTTATTGGTAAAGAATTTATTAACAAATGCGACTTTTACACTATACCTTCTGAGAGTTCCCGCGTAGGGATATTTAAAGTTAAAAAGTTATCTAATCTTAAAACGTGGCCATTGTCAGAAATTACTATAAAATATGTACAGTTGCCGTACAAAAACGGCTATGTTGTATCACCAATTTTACATTGTGACACACTTTAATGGAGCACATCATCCATTTTACATTGTGATACGCTTAAATAGATCCTCGGATGCTATGTCTTATACTTTTCTATTTTACTCCATTTATTCTATTTCATTCCATTTCTCTCTTTATCTGGTATTATATCTTATGGGCTTATTCAGAACTTGATCGGATCAACTATTATAGAAATTTGATAATCTCTCGTTAACTTTAACTTATCTTTTCTTGCTATAATAATGTTATATTTTTTTTTACAGATGCGGTGACTAAGGAATTTCCAACAATAAACGAGACGATGAATTTCAGAAATTAACAAACGATCGAATAATTTTTGCACAAGCCTGAACTATAGAATTAGATGAGGAAGGAACAAATAATAAAGAATCCATTTATTGAGAGAGAGATTGCGTTTCGTAATTTATATGTAATTCCAAAAAAAAAGAAGTTTAGAGTGGGCAGAATTATACAAAGAATACCAACATTTGTTGCATAGGAGAAGGGAAACTGCCCGAAAACCTTCTCAGTATTCGTGAACAAAATTATACATAATTAATATAAAAGACAATATAAGTACAACAAAAGTATCAAATGCATAACAGAAACAAATAAATGGTTATTATAGAACAATCCTTTCTTTTAATTATAGCAAAATATATTTGCATTCAATTATGCATCTCTGTATTCTATAATCAGGTTCGTTATCAAAAGAATGGTAATATAATATGTAAGTTCATACTTTATCTTGACGTAGTCAAAGTAAAACAAATCACGTAATATCAAGAAAGGATTATTCCATTAGTCGAGCCAATCATTTAGAACATAAAATTCAATGCAAACATAATTTAAATAGTCGTTGAAATAATATATCAATCTTTGAGTTTTAATAATAATTAATCTTAATTGGCCTTTTACTATTTACCATATAGACTGTTTGTTTCTGAACGAAAGACTCATTTTAAACAAAATCATGTGTTAAATAAAAGAAAATGAACTATAAGAATTTCTTGATTTCTAATATTTATAGGCCTTCTGTTTTTGATTGAAACATTAATTCACCAAAGTATACAAGTAATATT